TGCCACCGGGGAAAAAGAGCAGGCCGAGTGCCCCGGGGAGCACCCGCAGTATTCTGGGCGTAACGTACCAGCTTTCTCTATGTTAGCCTCGGTTAACTGACTCGCCTCTAGAAGCTGACGTGGTAACCTGCAATTTTTTCTTAAAAAAAAAAAAAGTAGTTCTGCAAACACGTTCCATAATTTTAGCTCCCCCTCACCTTTCTTCCTTTAAACCCACACTTTCAGTGCATTAATTTATGCTGCAGCATTAAACCTGTACAAAAAGCTTTAAGGACACTTAGTTAAATTACTCCTCCATTAAGTCAATTAAAATACTGCAATTTAGCCTAAACCAAGAGGGAACTCCACAGAAGACTCTTTTAACTAAAACTGCATGATTAGCCTGCGAGCACTAGACTGCGGTAACAAGGCAGTGCTGTACCTACCCCACCGTTCTGTACCAGTGAGAACAGAAGCGCTAAAAAAAACCTCCACCTTTTCCCCGTCCAAAGCGATATGACTGTCAGAGCTTGTTGAGCCATGCAAATGTAACTTGTTCTTCACTGGAAAAACATACAGAGAAGCTTCAGGACAGGAAGACTGCAGTGACGGCAAGGCCCTTTCAGCCACTGCCCACTGAATTTCCAATCTGTCGTTAAAACAAAGCAGATCTGTTTTTTAAAATCAAGCTTACATTAAGTTCTTCCCTGCTAAGTTTCTAAAAACTGCATCCTGTTTGGCTGATGAATGCTAGCAGCATAACAATGTGCAGTAAGACAACCTTTCTCCTTTACTTTCCTCCCCAACTGTAAAGTGTAACTAGGGTGACAAAACAATCTCTACACTTAAACTTTCATGCGTTACCAAAGTACGCAAGTTTTCTGTTGCCACAATTTAGAGACATGCCAGTATATACTTCAACCAGTTATTCTCAGAAATAAGCACACTGTCACCAAATTAATTTAATTTTTCACTACATCTCAGGAAAACTGTTGCATAATTACACACTTCCACCTGTAAAAAAAAAAAACAAAACCCAACAGACTTTCCATCTATGCGGAGAAATAAAATTTATTTAAATAATTTCTGATCTGGATCTTCTTGTACAAAAATAAATTCTTCCAGAGGGGTTTGATGATTTGTGGGCCAACAGCTTCTCTCACACGTGTAAACAATAGCAGTTCCAAATTCCACTGACAGATCTAAAAACAAAGCAATAACAGTATGTAAAGGTATGAAAAATTACATAATCGGGACCTATTGCTGATTGCTATACTTCAACCTTTGCCAATTCAGAAAATATTTTTCATATTCAGTCACCCCCACACACTGCATTTTTTAATTTTAAAGATTTTAAAGCAAGCTGACTCAGAATTTTCAAAGAGCTTCTTAAGTGTCTACAACTTTATCTAACAATATTTATTATCTTCCAAGGCCTCGTTTAAGAAGCAATAAAGACAAGCTACTCCCAAGGTCATGGAATTATTTATATTGCTGTTATTAAGGTTCAGTCAGCAAATGAAGTTGCGATCATAGGGTCTCCATAAACCAGAGTTATCTCTTCTGCTTGGTGAAATCTATGACGGAAACAGAGTGGATTCTATGTAAGATGATCACTGTAGTTAAGCTCATCAGTGCGCGCGGTTAGCAAGAAACAATCCCAACTGCAGTTCATTAAACTTTACCAAGGTGGCGACTGTTTCTAGTATTCATTCAGTCAAGTCAAAGGTCAGCACCTGAATCACTCTGGAGCATGCTGACCAGCGCTGGCATGAGCTGGAACTCAAATATCCTGTTGCTTCCACAGTTACTACAAGCTGGAATAGCTTTGTCAATGTTGGCTGGAGGACATGTTATGAATAAAGGCTGGCCACCCCAAGAGTATCTAAGAGAAAAAAGGAAAAACATATTCATTTTCTGTATCGAAATTTCATAGGAAAACATACACGTTGGCAGCAGGATTCAGGATTCTCTGAAATTTCTCAACTTGCTTGAAGTAAAAACATCATTATGAGCCAGAATCATTGCCTAAGCTTCAGATGAGCAATTAAACAAAGAATAAAGATGGGGAGGGGGAACTACTTGGAAGGTGAACACTTGGAAAGTCTTAAGGAAAGAGCTGGATTTAAAGGAGACAAACACTTTGAATTGACACCTCCAAAATATGCTGTACTTGACTCAATTAAGCAAACTACACTTTCCTGAAAAACATAATCCTGACCCACAGCAGTTAAAGATACTCACACCGAACAGGTCTCAAAACCACTGTAGTTATGCCACAGAACGGATGTTCTATTTGTAAGAGCTACGATAGCTCCCCAGGTAACGGGAAACCAGGATCAGTTTCCACTGAATGCCAACCTGGGGATTCTGTGCTGTGCTGAAACCTCAGCAGAGATCTGGCAGCCCAGGAGAAATGAGGGTCCAAGAGGTGTCCGCACAATACGCATGAAGGGGAAAGGGAGAGCTAAGTAAAGATTATAACCAGGGATAGTCATAGGGATCACCAGAGGCGATGTTTTAGAAGAACAGAAAATTCCAGGGTAATACTGCAAAGTGACAGATACAGTGAAAAGAAGTTGTCTGTTACTTGCACTCCGCTTTAGTACCTTTTCTGTATAACCTCTTATAGATAATTAATGAAAGTTTCTGATGTTTCTTAACTGTGTAACCAGCCCCTCAAACTTCACCTCCTCATCAAAAAGGTACCAGTTAGTTCCACCTGGTTCTGGAAACTTGATAAACAAAGGTCATGTCTCTACGCTGAAACAGCTTGACCAGATAGGCTGCACTGGACTCTCTGGAACAAAGAAGTTAAAAACTAACACTGGTTTCATCCACAAAAACCATGTGTATTATCTGGTACTATGAATAATTTATGATTTGAACTTTTTGTTATATTTTAATTCAGAATTAACTGCTCTTTCAGCAAAGTAGCTGCTCTGCAGTTAAATCTGCCTTTGTTCTAGGAAAAGCAACAGATTTACCAGAGCTGAGGTCTGCAGGGTCCCAAGGGGTGATCACAATAAGCTGCAGGAGAACTCAGGCTTTAAAACGAGTGATTTCTTACTTCAGAAACATCTCAAGGACTGAGACATAAGCAATTACAATGGAGTGACAAAATTTCAGACCAGCAGATAGCCTTGGAAATCTATCATCTCAAAATTGTCTCTTGAAAACCTCTATGTCTGGATTTCAGTGAGTCTTAAAAGCCAGTCTGGGTCTGTTTTCATCAGGTCTCATGCTGAATAAAGTCTCCCATAGCCAGATCTCGGGTCTCTGATCCTGCTTTGCTTCTCATCTACTTATACTTTGTATTAAAAAGCCCCATCAGGGACGTAAGTCTGACCACACAGGCATGGTAACAGCCCTTTTAGCTTTTTTTTTTTTGTGTTAAGAAACAAAAATATACAACTATTTCCAATGAAACAGTTTATTTTGATGTATTAACAATCCACGTCTATGCTCTGTATCTCCCTGTTACAACCAGATGATCAACATACCTTAGAATCTGTTCACGACACACAGATATCCTTTTCAGAAATTTATGGAATGTGTGGTCCCTGCTTTTGACTTCACTCTTCTCATATTTTTCATTATCACCTTCACCAGCAAAACTGTAAGAAAACAAGAAAAGAAACAATATTTCCACTAAAGTTTTCAGTATGACATGCATGCTTTAAATCAGTAACGGTTACTACACCTTCACATTAAATCATACTAAGTACTCTGAAAAAACCCTATACATCTTAAATTAAGAGGCAATTCCTGTTAGAGGTTGCAAACGAACATTTTGCTTCTAGCTCTTCAGTTTCTGGTGGCTTACAATTACTAACAGTGCTTCAAACTACCACATGAGATTCAAACCCAGATACCCGCTTATTCCTTAAAAAAAAAAAATTCCTTTAGTAGCTCCTCAGAAGTTTTTTCCTGGTTTTAAATTACTATGTTGTCTTCTAAAATTTTGAATTAAGTGTAATTTAAGTTCTATGATTCTATAAAGGTCAACAAAACTCAACAGGAACATCGTTCCTAAAAAGCATTCTATGCAGATTCTGCAGTTGACAGTAGCTTTAGTTACCAAAACATTCAATGTTGTCCACAATTCGGGAAAGGTCACTGTACACGTTAATACAGTCAAAAGAGAAATAGTCTGGATATAACTGCTCACTGTAATTGCCTAAAGAGTGAAAATATTTTCAGTAACTACATTAAAAAATTGGTTTTCAGACAACCTTTACAAAATCTTTGGGAGTCTTACCATCATACCAGTCTCTAGCCAAAATCCCTAAGTAACTGAACACTTAAAAATGCAATTGGAATATTATAAAAGCTTTAGCCTTGTAAAGAAAAAAAAAAAAAAGACGACAAATATTACAATATAAACTCCTGCCATTTAGCACAAGATGTTGACTAAACCACACTGGTTTGGTTTCAGAGATCAACAATCCACTGCTCTATCTGGAGCCCAAGGACATTCCAACTACGCAGTCACTCAGAAACAGATGCACCTCTGAGTAACTCGAAATCTGACAGAACTGGGTGCATTGTGTTCTTCCAGCAAAGTGCTACGCACCAGCGATTCTTGAAGGACTCAGTTACAAATAAAAAACATTTGGATTCAGTAAGAGTCAGATTTAGATTATCAGACAGCATACAGGGAACTACGTAATCCCTTTGGTTTCAGCATGAAATCCAGACCTGTTCTCACCTTTCTGACATCAACTGTTCCAAATCAACACCCTCTCTCTGCTGATACTCCTTCAATAGCTTATCTGCATGATCTGTATCAAGGAAACCAGTGTAGTCTTCCTCATCCACAACACTAATGTAAAAGGGCTGGAACACAGGAGCTGAACTAGACGTTGCCATTACCCTTCCCTCGCTGACTGGAGCACGTGTATTCAGGGAACCTGACCCGTTCATAGCTTCCGACAAGCGAAGCTGTTGGAACTGGGATGTACACTCCACCTCTCTGCACAAGGAGCTGCTCCCTGCTTCATTTGAGCCAAGCAGATGCAGGGAGGCATACGCAGGAGATTCTGCTCCATCACAAACTCCCCAGTCATCTGCTTCATCACACCAATCCTTTGCAGCAAAGTTTGATTCCTGTTCCCAAGAAGAACAAAACAAAATAAAACAAGGAACTGGAGAAATGGAATGACAATTCAGTGACTTTTTGAACAGACTTTGTACACCATCTTGCCAGACCTTGGCTGCTGGCATGACTGCTGACAGCCGGTTTGGGTACATTTATCTGAAGCACAGTTACTGCACCACAGGTAAGCTTAAAGAGCAGAATATGGAGGAAAATAACAACAATGACAATACCATCATTTTATCAAAGTATAAGCTCATTTACCACAGACCAAAATTTCATACTGCAAATGCACCAGCAGAATAAACACTTTCTGCCTGTCATCACTAGTTTGATAGCCATCCTCCTCCTTCAATCTTAAGCCAATGTGCAGTTTTTCTTCACAAGCAAAAATACCAGAAGCATATTAACAATAACGGAGTCAGATTAATTAAAACCGATAAAAATTTTTAAATCTATTTAAATTAGAAAATAGCCATCCTGGAAATCCAAACCTAAACAGTGTAGCCCAATCATTTGAAGTTGAAAAATAATGTTTAGATAGCTCAAGTAACTAAAGTATTAAATATCAGTTTTAATCATGTGGTTGGACTGCAATCTCCACTTTAAAACAATCCTAACATAGATCACAAACAAGAAGTTAATCTACTAGTAAATAACGTGGAGTACTCACGGTGCCAAAAATTCCACAACCATGACTTCTCCACATGACGACATACATGACTCAGAACTAGCATACAGCACAGCTTCTTGAAGCAGGTTAGGGTTACTTACAAGTGCGAAACTCCTTCAGCTCAGCTGCACTTTTTAGAACCTCCTCCGCACTGCACTGAAACAAAGGACAGAACCCAAGAGGGCACTTTGCTTGTTATACCTGTTTCACGCTGCAATCTCGTGCTTCCTTTTCTTGTGTCTCCAAATACTGGGAGCGCAGCACCTTCCAGCTTTAACGTGCAGC